GCTGTGATGGTAAGTGATCCGGTGGGTTTGGATAGACAGAAGATGACGAGGAAAGAAAAAATGGGTGGCTGGTATTGATCTCACACAAAGGGCAATTTGGTCTTTAAAGAGTTTTGATATTTTCTCATTAATAGTAATAAAATGTTAAAGGACAATTTCGACTTTTCATAACCTTTTAGGGGTTGTTTGGATGCAATTTTTGATAAGGGGTGTCATTGTTCAAAAAAACTTCAACTTGTATATAACTGACAATATATCAAACCTCAGTGTGTCATTGTAATTAACCCAAAAAAAAAAAAAAACCTCTGTATATATACTTTTCAGGATATTTCTTTCTCTCTCCTCTTCGTTTTCTCTCTGTAGACTAAAAATATCACCCCCAAAACTTTGTAATCAACAATCAAATAAATCCACACACCCATCACGACCCCACTATCGACACAACCAATTCAACCACCTAATAACCAATTCGGATCACTGCCAACAAACAAACAAATCGCCGATTTGGAGCAAAATTCAATCAAAGATTCTACCCATCAAACCCACCTCCAACGATTGGGGCGATCGGTTTGTGACTTTGTGGACGCGGCTGTGAGGATCAGCGATGAAGCGACAGCCGGCGCTAATGAGCACCGCCCCCACCCAACACCTCTATCACCACCGCCCCCACCCAAAACGAAACCCAAAGCCGCAAGACCCAACTGAAACCCAGCCCATGAACCACGTCGTCATGAACCTGCCGTCCTCTCCACCGCTGACTCCTCTGAGAAATCACTGATGCGCCGCCAATGTGTTCGCCTCTCTCCACATCTCTCCAAAATGTTTTCCAGCGTCCTCCGCCGCCTTCGCGACCCTGACTCCGTCGCCCGGTCAGTCTGTGTGGACACCGTTACATCCGTGGTCACGATTTATGGACGCCGTAGATCGATTCGCCGATGAGGACGATTTGTCTAACCAAACCGAATTGATCGTTTATGGAAACGTTAAAGATTGGGTTTGATTCGAAAGATCACACAATCGATTCGTCGCGAGAATCCATGAAGCCATAGTCGCCGATGATGTGTGGCGACGCTGATGGTGAATAAGTGAGGGTTGTGTTTTTTTTATCTTATTTTCGGTGATGGGTTAATGGTGGTGGTTGTGAGGGTGGAATGTGAGTAAAATACTTAACCAGTGAAATTTATAACCAAAATGTTCGAAACATTAAGGGGTGTGAATATAATTTATGCTAAAATTTATTATACAACTAAACATAAACATATGTAGTAACCATTCTATTTAAAATAATTATAATTTTACCAAAAAAAACCTCATGTCCGGTCGCCTCCAATCACTGTCACTGCCATTGCCGCCACTTTCACCGCCTTCCTCCACCTTTACACCGCTGTTGTCGTCACCTCCACTGTCTTCCGTCACATCCACCTCCATCGGCACCCCCACTGACTTCCACCACCTATACCACCACCCCCATCGCCATCACCACCGGCTTTCTTTACTACAACGGTTGTCGTCTTCCAACACAGCTACCGCCTTCCACTTCTACCACCATCGTCATCACCACCAGCTTTCTTCACCACAAAAGTTGCCGTCTTCCAACACAGCTACCGCTTTCCACTTCCACCACTATCGTCATCACCACTGGCTTTCTTCACCACAACTGTTGCCGTCTTCCAACACAGTTAACGCCTCCACTTCCACCACCATCGTCCCTACCATCTAGCACTGCCGCAATTTTAGGTTTTAAATTTATCCAACCAAATACTATAATGCTTATTATTATCATTTCATTCTTACATCATATAATATATGCAACTATTTTATTATATTCCATTTCCACTTTTATTTCATTTCATTCCTACATACCAAACACAATATTAATGTCTATAGTACGTCAAGTTTTTACACTTTACCATTACAAATACATTAGGCCTATATGGTTCAGTTTTCTCATAACAGTTTTTTATTTTTAATTAATGAAAAATCATGAAATTGTACTAAAAGTTGTTTTTTTCAATTGTGCAAAAACTCAATTAAAAAAAAAAAAGTTTTGCTTTTAGAGAATTGTCTTTTTTAAAACAGTTTTTTGAATTTTTAAGAACTATATATTTTTAAAAAATTAAACCAAACAAGTCTATTATTTTTTTTACTAACGGTTGGTGGTATAGCGGTATCGGTCTCTTGCTTCTCATGAGAGTCAGGGGTTCAAGTCTCAATAAAGACGTGTGTGTAAGTACCAACTAGAGAAAAAAAAAAAAAAAAAATCCATTGTTTTAAAATTATTTTTAGAAAAACACAATTAATATTTTCTAATGGGCTCTGTATATAGAAAACTCCTTTTGGCAGTTGATTTTGCAGCTATCACTAAACTAAAACAACAAAAAAAAAAAAAAAAAAAATCATTTTCTCACAGTATTTCTAGCGATCATATAACAAGTGTGAACTCTTCTTATACATTCTGATATGGACTATGGTGGCAGTGGTTTCCATCACTGATGGAGCTTCTGATCATGGCACGAGAAGAGGAGACGAAGGCAACGGCAATGGAGCGAGTGGCTGAAGGATTGGCACTGTTGGAGGAAGCATTTGTCGAGTGTAGCAAAGGGAAGGCTTTCTTTGGTGGGGATAGTATTGGGTACCTTGATATAGCATTCGGGTCCTTCTTGGGGGGGCTGAGGATTGCAGAGAAAATGGGCGGCTTGGCACTACTTGATGAAACCAAGACGCCGGGTCTGGTGGGATGGGCTGAGAGGTTCGGGTCAGATGATTCTGTGAAGAATGTTTTTCTACCGACTGAGAAGCTTATTGAGATTCTCGAGACGCGTCAAGCCATGGCCAAAGCTCCTGCTCCCAATTGATCAACAATGCCTATTATCCGGTCGCTTAACAATTAGATCATAAATCAACAGAGGATGTAGCTTAATGATATTTTCTGGCTACAAGGCTCGGGTTTCATTTCTCATAAAAATAAAATCTGTGGTATTTATTTTATTATTATTATTATTAATTAATTTTTATTTTTATTTTTATTTTTTTTTATTTTTTATCTTCGTGTTTCTTGCGAAGATAAATTGAATTGGCTAGTCTATTCATAGTGTTGAACTGTTCACGGCCCTGACCCTAATTATCATTTTTTATATGTGAAGTATGATTTTCTCTTAGCTTTTTCTTCATGTGCCTTGTAGCGGCCCTAGCAGGTGGTTTTAGGACGAATTTTTGATAATTGAGATCCTATTATTATATAAAAATATATGTATATATATAATCTATTATCATTTTCCATATATGATTTTGTCTACATATAACATAAAATTGTTTATATGTAATTTTATTGTATATATTCATTATGCTTGGTGTTACAATGGGTCTTTGTTGGTATCGAAATTTATATGAGTCAAGTGTTTGCAGCACTTAATAGTTTAAGTTTTTGTTTGAACTAGGAAGTATCCTATTTGTTATCATTATTGACAAAGTCAAACTCTTTCTTGATTCAGAATCATGTCAACTACCCGAGTTGGAGGTCTACAGTCAAGATGTGCCGCAAGGATAGGGATCAGGATAACCCGACTTTACAAGAATGTTACAATGGGCATTATCCCACACGTCAGATCCAAAATGATGAGAATTGATTGTGTACAAGAGTAGCTTATGCTAAAGCTTTATTTATATATAGGGTTAATTACATTCACACCCCCTGAGATTTGCCTTATTGACAACCACATGAAAGTTGACCTATTTTTTAACATTGACCACCCCTCAAGTTTCGTAAAGTTAACAAAGACACCCCTCTGATCTTCTGCACATGATGAATTGACGTTATTGTCCTTTGACTTGATAGTTGACCTATTTGGACTATGAAATTACCTTTTTAACCTTTACAACTCAGTTTATTTAAATAAACTACCCTTTCATGCCAAAAAAAACGAAGTATAATTAATTATATATAACTGTAATATATATATATATATATATATATTACACACACACATACATGTATGGATGTGGTGGTTCATGTGGATGGAGGTTAGTACTAGTAATATTAAATTCAGTATAATAAAATGTAATATGAAAAGAGGAAAGTGGGACAATACCACTTGCAATGTGATATTTGAATTTTTTTTTTTTTTTTTTGTGTGATTTTTGATTCACACAACACCAATCCAAATTTGTTATATTAAAAATATAATAATATATACAATAAACTATATTGGAGGTGGGTATTTGATAAAACTATGGGTTATTGTCAAAACCAAAACAAAATTGGTACAAAACCATGTAGGGTCACCTCGTCTTCAATTCTTGTTCTCCAGCGAATGGTCTTGGTGCCAAGCCTCAATTTGTTGTTAGGAGACCTGTAGGTGAGAAAAGTTCAAAAAAAAAATAAAAAAAATAATAAAAAAATACAAGTCCAGCCACAGTACGTTCCCGGCAGATTCCGATCGAGCCGGTCAGATTCCGATGACAAACACAATATGCAAGACCAAAATGATACTTGTAGCTTTGATTTGCTCTGATTTTCAATTTAAAGAGAGAGAGTGGTGGCTATGATTTGAGATTGTCATGGGTTTAATTGGGATTGTTGTGGGTTCAAATGGGTGGCGATGTGGTGGCAGAAAAGGTGAAAAGTGATAGCCGGCGAGGTGCGAATGCCAACACGCTGTAGCCGAAGAGGACCAAACCCAGAAAATGCCGACAAAGGCTGTAGGGATCCAGCATATTATATTTATGTGTGTGTCTGTATCCAGTGTATTAAATTCTTGTGTGTTTGTAAATTGCAAAATACTAGTGTGTGAAAGAAGAGGGGAAAGAGGGGTATTTGAGTCATTTAAATACTCTCATACTTTTAATCAAGGATTATTATTTTATTAAAGGGTAATAATGTAAATCTCAGGGGTGTGAGTGTCCAAAAAGTGATCAACTCTCATATGACTGTCACTAGAGCAAACTTCAGAGGTATGAGTGTAATTAACTTTATATATATATATATATATAGACACGCACATACATATACAGCCAAACTACAAAATAAAACATAATAGAGCAGCTACAACCACCTGTCGGCCGATCACAAAATTTACCTTCCGAAAAAAAAAAACAAAAAAAAAACCGATCACATCTTGGTAATAGCCTCTCTGACACCACCCATGCGCACCACAAACCCACCCACAGCCAAATGCCAAGAGTTGTTACATCACTTTTTGCATCATTACACACCAAAGGATGTCAAATCTAGCTTTATATACTATGTCCCTAAATTATTATCCACCTAATTGTCTGAAAAAGCGAAATAGTATAAGCCTGTGTAGCTCGAGAACAGCTGAAAATGGCAATGAGCGATGTGAAGCTACTTGGATCTCGGACTAGTCCATATGTGCACCGGGTTCAAATCGCTCTGAACATCAAGTGCATCAACTACGAGTTCCTTGAGGAGACATTTGGGTCCAAGAGTGAGCTTCTCCTCAAATCCAACCCGGTTCACAAGATGGTTCCAGTTTTGATCCATGACAACAAGCCCATATGTGAGTCTCTTATCATCGTCCAATACATCCATGAGGTATGGACCTCGTCCGGCCCCTCTATTCTTCCTTCTGATCCCTATGATCTTGCCACTGCCCTCTTTTGGGGAGCCTTTATTGATGACGAGGTATATATGGTTTTTATTTGATTTTGCTTTGCTATGGTCTCGTTGGTTTTTATTCAATTGATTTATAAGGATTATTATAAAGATAATGTTTGAAGATCTAAAATAGAACTAGTCTGACTAATTTAATTTCGTATGATGGGCTAATATATTCCTCACGTGATGAATTTAATTGAGTAGGCACTAAATGAAATGACATAGTGTCCCTGACTAGCTCATAAATAAGTATTTTTGTTATTTATTTTAAGAAAATGAATGCATTTGGTTAACAAGGAAGTTTATTTATATATCAAATTTGATATCTCTGATCGTTATATATATATTTATTGTTTTAAAAAATATGACATGTCATAATAGATTTATAAAAAATTTTAAATTATTTATTATTTTTTGTGTAAAAATATATCCTCTCCAATAATAATCAATAATCAGTCAGTGTCATGCCGAAATAATGGGGATGAAAAAGAAAATATGCTAATTTGACTATGTAAAAGGGTTGTATAAAACCGCGTATCTTATGCATATTTATATTTTATACAAAAGAATATTTTAATAGATTCCTGAATATGCTTATTATAAAAATAACTTGTATTAGGTAGCTAATGATTTGACAAAATATGCTTTTTTTTTTTTTCTTTTTTTTCTTTTTTATCCTGACAAAATATGCTCATTCACCATATTAGAAAGTAAGGTCTTTTCCCACTGTATATAATGAAATTTTAACATAAGATCAGTGTGTGAATTAAGTATATATTTCCCTTGTCATGACCAATTTCTAATGGTATATATATCAAGAGCGAACTCTTCTTGTACATTCTCGTATGGTTGCAGTGGTCTCCATCAGTGACGGAGGCTTGGATGGCACGAGAAGAGGAGGCGAAGGCAACAGCAATGGAGCGAGTGGCTGAAGGATTGGCACTGTTGGAGGAAGCATTTGTCAAGTGTAGCAAAGGGAAGGCTTTCTTTGGTGGGGATAGCATTGGGTACCTTGATATAGCATTCGGGTCCTGCTTGGGGGGGCTGAGGGTGGCGGAGAATATGGGCGGCGTGCTACTGCTTGATGAAGCCAAGACGCCCGGTCTGGTGGGATGGGCCGAGAGATTCAGCTCAGATGATTCTGTGAAGGATGTAATTATACCGACTGAGAAGCTAATTGAGCTTGTCAAGGTGCATCAAGCCAGAGCAAAACCTCCTATTTCAAACTAATTGAGAAAGGCTTGCTATCCGTGGTGATAGCATGTCACCCATGTCATCAATCAATTATTTATTTTCAAATAAATAAAAATGCATTTGCTTCCGTGCAAATATTATTGCACTATGATATTATAGTCAAAATGGCTAGTCTATCGTAGAGATGAAGTGTCCACAACTAGACCTGTTAACGGATCGGATTTGGACCGGATCAGGGTCAATCTGATCCGAATCCGATAAGCATAATGAGTGATCCGGTCTGGTTCGATAATCCGACGGATTTTTATTGAGTCAATCCGTATCCGATTTGTTTGATTATAGGAAGTCCGATCCGATAGTCCGATCCGATAATGTAACTTGCACAAATCAACAAACAAACAACAGATTAGAGCATCTTGTAAACCTAGAAACCAAAAAATTGAATAATGTCCATCAAGTTCGATTCGTAAACAATACAGGTAATATGGTACGAAATTTCAACATCACAAATACGAATTGGTGTAATTCAATATAATATATATATATATATATATATATATATATATATATATACACAATTATATATATATATATATATATATAATGATTAAGATGGAGTTAACTTGAAAGAGCTTGGTTTGGATATCATTTTCAATGTTAAATCTCAGACTAGTACGCATTGCTCTATTGCTTGTAGCCTTTTGGTTTAGGGCTTAACTCTTAAACCACAGGCAAGGCTCGAATCTGGTACACATAGAAGGGAAAATTTACACCCCAGGTTACTTTGAGGTATTTCAAAATACCTCTCCGTTTTCAACTTTAAAAAAAATATATATATAATATGAAGAGGAGAGAAGTGAGATCGGACGAGAGAGAAAGGAAGAACACTTACTTGAGAGTAGTAATATTTTGCAGCGGTTGCCGATCCTCGTTCTCTGATTTGTGTTGCAGCTCTGCTACGTGGAAGTGTTTGGGGAGGTTGTTTTGCGGCAAGGGTAGTGTGAGTGAGAGAACATAATGTTGTTGTGTGATATGTTAGGGTTTAGATAGATTAAAGGAGGAATGAGCTTGGGATTGGGCTTGGGAATAAGAAGTGGGCTTGGAAGTGGGTTTTGGGCTAGACTCTTATATATATATATATATAGTGGGCTTGGAGATGGGTTTTGGGCTAGACTCTTATATATATATATATATATATATATATATATATATATATATATATATATATGTAATTTTAATTCGGATCGGATTATTATCGGATCGGATCAGTAAAATCCAAATCCGATTTGTTAAGTTAACGGATTATCGGATTCGAATCATAAATGGATTATCGGATTTTTTATTCAATCCATATTTGACTAATCGGATCAGATTCGGATCAAATAACTCCCTTATAATACATAGGGTAAAGTGCAAAAAAATTCCTGAACTATGTCCAAATTAGCAAATAACTCACTTTAATTATATTTTGTGCATAATATCCCCTGAACTATCACATTTTGTTGCAAAATGTCCCAATATCTAGATTTTTTATCATTAAATGATGATAATGTCATTTCTTATTGAATTACACTTAAACTATTTTTCTTATTGAAATAAATTATTAAAAAAAAAATCCTACTAATTTGATGACATATTCTCTATTAAATTTGCATAAATTTACCTTTATTTTTTTAAATAAAAATATATAGTAGAAAATTTTAAAACAATTTAAGTAATTTCTTAAATTTCATGAATTTATTGCATGAAAAAGAAGGTATTTTTTATTTAAGTAATATATTAATTTTTCATGAATATATTGTATGAAAAATAAGGTTTTTTTAATCGTAAAAAAGTTTAAGCTGAATATATTGAGTTTTATTATAAATTGTAAATTTTTAATAATAAGTTTATCATTTTAGAAAATGGTAGTTACAAATCTATTTAATTTTTTTATTTTTATGATAATTGGTATTAATAATAAAATTAAGGTAAATAGTATAATTAATATTTAGATAAGAGAAAAGATAATAAAAATAATTTAATAAGAAATGACAAATTTAATGAGAAATGATAAAATAGTCTTTTATGATAAGTTTGTCTTTAATTGCAACAAATCAATAGTTCAAGGGGGCAATTTTTAATTCAGGGTGGTTATTTGCAAAAGAGTAATAGTTCAAGGGGTTTTTTTGCACTTTACCCTAATACATATATTATGCAAAAGAGGGCTAGCATCAAAAAGGTAGTTGGAGAGGCCATGTGACCTCAAAGCCTTCTTTAATACCAAAACCCAACACAATATTATTTTACTTGAACTGGTTCTAAATAGGTTCAAGTTATTTGGAACTAGATCAACTTTTTCGTGAATCAGTTGGACATAATTGTAACTCTAATTGAACCAGATCATGACAAGTTGAACCAGTTGGACTTGGAAGTCACAAGACTACTGTTTTAGAATTGAATACTGATATGGTAACTCCTTGTAAGCAAGTTAGGGAATACTTGTCCAACAAAAAATTGGGTTTGAAGGCTCTATAAATAGAGAATGGTATGAGAGGTGAGAAAAAGAGAGAAACGATAAAGATGTAAAGGGTTTAAAAGGGGTGTGAGGAGGAAGGAGTATATAAAATACCCGAGTGTATAGATGTAGCCTCAAAAAAGATGATGAGTGAGTGAGATGGGTTTTGACATCTGGTTGTATATTCTCTTCCTTAATTCATAAAAGTGAAGTCCTTCTCTCCATAGACGTAGCCCTAGATCAAGTTGGGCGAACCATGTAAAATATTGTGTTATGTGTGGATGTGTATGATTGTTATATTCATGTATGCTTATGTTGATATGATGTGATGATGCTTATAGTATGTGATGAGGGATGGATTTAACTCTCAACAATAGCTGACCATTGGCGGGTTTGAGGGAGCTAATATTCCTAAAACCTGGTATTAGAGTCGATGGTGGGTCAAAGATTGTGGTTGGTCCTGAAGATTAGTGTGAAGTATGTCAGAGCAGATAATGATCATGGGGTGTTATGGAAATTCAATTAGAGTTGATGATGACATGGAGAAGATAGATGGTGTGAAGACCCAAGCCCATAAGGAACAAGTCTTGGGACAAATTGAAGGATGCTCGTTCTTAAGTTGGGATAAGTATGATGTGAGGAATGAAGGGATTTGCTCTAAGCCTACTAAGAGCAATGAAGAGTGAAGAAGATGTTAATTGCTTTGAACCAAAATAGTAATTGATGAGGATGAGTTGATTAATTGGTAAGTTGCCATGCGTAAGCAATTGAACATCAATTGGGATGATGGACGAAATTTTGTTCGAGGTGGAACGATCTTTCGAGTAAAGCTATAAAAAAAAACAAAGAAAGACCGAATTAAAGCCAACATGGAGATTGTTAGGTTTTGTGACTCGAATTCGGTGTGCGAATAATGTTCTGGCATAAGTAAACAAGTTCAAGTTATTTGGAACCAGTTCAACTTTTTGTTGAACTAGTTAAACATCATTGTAACCCCAATTGAACCAATTCAAGAAAAGTTAAACCAGTTAGATGTGGAAGCCACTAATATTTTAGAATTGAAAACTGATATGGTCCTTGTAAGCAAGTTAGGGAATATTTTTCCAACAAGGAATTGGGTTTGAGGACTATATAAATAAAGATGTGTGTGAGAGGTGAGAGAGAGAGAGAAAAGAGAAAAGATGCAATGGGTTTAAGAATGGGTGTTATGAAGAGGGGAGAGAATATTTGTAATTCTCGAGTGTGTAAATGTAACCTCAAAAGAGAAAATGAGAGGGTAAGAGAGGTTTTGACATCTTGTTGTATATTTTCTTCCTTGATATATTCATAATAGTGAAGTCTCTATCTCCATGGACGTAGCTCTAAAGTTTGGTGAACCATCCAAAATATTGTTTTGTGTGGATGTGTATGATTGTTATCTGCATATATGCTTATGTTGATATGATGTGATAATACTTTCGCTGTATGTGATGAATGAGATATTTAATTTTCAACAATTGCTGATCGTTGAGTGGGTTGGAGGGAATTAGTATCCCTAACACGTTGATGAAAAAGGAAAACACAGGTGGCTTTCGAAGAGGAGGAAAAATTGTGGGTGTGGGATGTTTTATCGGTCTTTTTTTTCAGAACAATTGGAGGAGAAAGATTAACATAGGTGTGTTATAGTTACGCATATGACGATTCTAATTTGTCCTTTTAAGTAATTTGAACTTTTAGGTACTTTTTATTATTTTCTTATGACAATTGTCGAGGGCATTTAAGTATTTTCATATATCCAATTCTATTCATTAACAAATTACCTTTTTTAAAAGGGTTAAAATCACAAAACCCCATGTATTTTCACAATTGTGCATAAAATCCCCTACAAAATGAAAAAAATAAAATAAATAAATTATCAAGTTGTCCCCATATTCGTGACTGACCCGTTAACTTGGTTATGAAATGACAAAATTAACCTTGCTATTTAATTTTAAATTAAAATGTTGATAATAATTTTATAAAATTATTTTTATAATTCAACAATAACAATGTCAATTGTGAAATTTAAACATTAAATAATAATTTTATAATTTTAAACAATTTTATAATTTAAGATTATTCAATGGTCTTTTATTATTTTTGTAATTTTAAAATAATAATTTTCAGCATTTTTATTTAACATTAAATAACAAGTTCAATTTTGTCATTTCACATCCAAGTTAACGGGTCGGTCACAGATATGGGAGTAACTTGATAACTTTTTTTAGTTGAGGGGTTTTTTTTAATTCTAATGAGGGATTTATGCACAATTTTGAAAGTATAAGAGGGTTTTGTGATTTTAACCCTTTTTTAAATTGCATATATAAATTGTATATATATATACTTATAGGGAATGCGATTGAATGGGGGGTTTAAATACACATTTTCAAAACTAGAGGGGTTCATTTTGCATTTCACACCATCACTTGGGTACTCCCATTTGTAGGGATGGCAATGGGGCGGTTTGGGGCGAGGATGTCATTCCACATCCTTATCTCCGTTTAATTTTTTCACCCCCATAACAGCCCCAAAACCTGCTGGATTTTTCTAAGCAACCCCATCCCCTTCCTCATTTACATAATTGGTTCCCTAAAACCGCTCCAAATAGGGCGAGGCCCCGTAGGGGTGGAGATTTTTGCCAACCCTACCCATTTGGATCTAATTACTTAAATGCCAATTTTCTTTTATTGGGGATAATAATTTTGTTTTACAAGAAGTTGTAACTAGTTTTGCATGTTTGAGCTAATTATTTCCTTATGTGAATTCCAAACAGTAATTGGAAGATGTACAAGCTGTGAGATATATATATTTTGGGGAGATTGTAAAAAATATATATTTTGTAATTGGCAACTTTCGGTGTCAAAATAAGTCCTAGTCGAGTTGTAATTTCAAGTTACTATATCGGGATCGACAGCGACTGCGGAATTGGAAGGTTGTTCAAAGTTACCATAACTGAGATCATTTAAGAAAGGTAAGAACAACACTTTAGGAAAGAATCTAAAAAGGTTAAGACACATTCTACAATTAGTATATTTTTCAGACTTACCAAAAATGTGTTTTCAGCCTTCAGAGCCTTAGAAATTCAAGTCTGCTTGACTTGAACCGGTTCAACATCCTTAAACTGGTTCAAGACCCTTTAAGGTTGGCTCGAAATATAATCTGTCAATCTTGAACCGGTTCAGCACCATTAAACCAGTTCAGCACCCCTGAACCAGTTCAAGAAGTCCTGACAGCATTCCAATTTTAGTTTCCTGTTTTAGATTTCTTTCCTATTTGGTTTAGAACTGTACCAAATCCTATGCAAGAAATTTTTTATATTTTTAGAGAGATTAGGACATTCTAAATACTATATAAACATTGATAGTCATCTAGGTTTATACACGACTTTTGCATACAAAATTCAGATCTATTAGAGAGCTGTCTTTAAGAGATATTTTTATTCAGAAAATCAATCTGATTTTTTTAATTTATTTTTGAGAGCACACACATAAACACAAGAGTGATTTAGGAGTGTTGTTCTCTATCTCATCGGAATTGGAGCATAATTGAAAATTTAGAAATTCTGAAAACCAGAATTCATTCATTCTTCATCAAATTCAGATCTTGAAGAAAAATGATGAAGTGATCACCCTTTGAAGGGATCAAAGCATTCGTGAAGTGTTGTTTGATCTACCTGCAACTCTTCTATAGAGATCAAGAGTAAGCTTAAGATCGAGAGCTACTGGACGGGGGAGTCACAAAGTCAGGGATTGTCAGCAATTGGTTTTTAGTAGAACGATAGGGTGTGAGCCTGAGTCAAAATTCAGTGTACTTTACTTCAAACATAGTGGATCGTTTTTCTCTGGACTGCACAGTTCAACGAGGTTTTTCCCGCAATTAGTCTATTCTACCAATTGAGGTTTCCTCGCTAAAAAACTAGTGTCATCTCTCAAACCTTATTTACTTTACTTGTATTTTATTTTTGTTTTGTGATTTGAATTTAGTTTTATTTCGGTAAAATTAAAATAAGTAAAAATTGGAAAAATAAGCAAGTTAAATCTATTCACCAGTGCTCTAGGTTATTTATCCATATTATATTCTACAATCATTTCGCTGCGCACAACTCAACACAAGCAGTAGAAGAAGATATAGAACTCCAAGTCATTATTGATTAGTGGGTGAATCTGGATCGGAGCTTGGCGTTGGAGGTGAAAAGAGTGGTGGCAGCTTAGACGGCAGGTTCTTCACCGTTAGACCGCCGGTGAGTAGAGAGAGAAAGAGAGCGAAGAGTGAAGGAGACCTGCCGGAGAGTGAGAGAGAAAGAGAGTGAAAAAAAAAAAAGAAAGAGACCGGCTTGAAACACAAAAAATAAAAAAAATAATAAAAGTCAGCTGCCAATAAATTGCTGACACGTGGCGCGACCGTGCTTTTGCAGTCACGCAAGCGACTACAATTAACATTTCTCCTATGAATAATGAAGATTCTAAAACATAAATAACGAAAATAATTTTAAAATTGAGGAGTTGGGCTGAATTTCTTAACCAAATGCTTATCAATACATACTAAATATAAGAAAGTGTAACTCTTTACTTTCTTATCTCATGTATTAATGATTAATCAAATATGTCAAATAATTCTACCTAAATACTCAAACAAACTTGATATTAAATCCTACAATTTAATAACATTTAAGGGTTTTTTTTTTTTTTTTTTTTTTTTTTTTCATTCAAAGCTCAAGGACCTAAAGCCAAGATGGCAGTACAGAGATATAAAGTCAAGCCAGAAAAGGTATACAAATCTTGAAGCAAAGCAAATAAATGAAGAACAGGCCCCAGATTTATGGAGGAAATAGAGCTCAACATTTTGCAAATAGAACCACCATGGGAGAAAGCAGCAAACTAGAGAGACCGAAAGGTCTGGCCATCAGCACGGCAACTACTCCAAAGCTACAACCACAAGGCGCTCCGACACATAAAACCTAGCACAAGATCCAATCAAGGAGAAAATGATCAAATCGAAGCGGGGAAAAACCTAAAACTGGCCCAGATCAGAGATTTAATGGGAGAAAAATAACAGATCTGCCTAGGTGAGCCCAAAACAAAACAAACAAGAGCAGATCTAGCCGAATAAAAACAAAAACCTCGTAAAAAAATGCTTACAGAGTACACTTATTTAAACATGTCGAGTTTATTATAATCGTGAAAGACAACTAGCAGCTCTCCACTCCCGCGGAAGGGAGCAGGGAGCACAGAATAAAGAAGAGGACAGCTGGTGTAGAGAGAGAAAGGTAAGAGAGGTGGGAGCGTTTTTCTGTCGGTCCAGGTTGTTGTGATATACGAGTAACATTTAAGTTGTCTACGTACTTTAATTACAGAGTAAAATTGAATTTCCGGTGCATGAAATAATTATACCTTTAATGAATGAAGACAGTGCATGCAATAACTATACCTTTAATGAATGAAGACGGTGAATATACGTAAATATATATGAATGAAGCCACTCATTACGTAGGCAACAATGTAAAAGACATTCTTCATCGCTTTTATTAGTCCAATGATGTCAATTATGCAAGCATGTAACCATATTGATTGATTAGGGGTATTCTTTTTGTGTAGTTAGCGTTCCTCGTAAAAATGAGCAGGTTATAAGTGCTTGATGTAACACATTTATCATTCTTAATATAATAAAATGAGTTGAAATGACTAGGGTTTTGATAAAGATGGAGGGTTATCTTGAATCTACAAATTAAAAAAAAAAGTTATAAAAAATTCTAAAATATTATTAATAAATTTATTGATCTTTTCTGCAATTGAAGTACATATCTTTATAACAAATAAAATCTTAAAATTAATAATATAAAAGAAACTAATTGCTCGAGTAAATTAAAAATATAAAGAAATTAATAGTAGAAGAAAATTTAAAATTTAAAATTAAACTCCTTATAAAAAAAATAAAAAATAAAAAATAAATTAAAATTTAATAAAATTATCCTACATCAAGAAACTCATTAGACAAGAATAAAATAAAATAATCATGTTTATAATGAACATAATATATTGATTATATAATATAATATATTATTTATAAATTAATATTATAAAATTATTGCATAAGCAATCTAAGATAATTGAAGTAATTGTTACCATGTAAAATTGTTACACACTATGTAAAATTGTCGTGTTGTAACAGCAACCAATATGGTATAATTTGTGGCAATAAGAAGTCAGTATAGCTAGGAAATTGCCTTGGTGTGGGGCTGCGAGTCCCTCACAAATATTTTCAAAAGGTGCCCCGCAACTACCAATGCTAGTGGCCAACCTTTGCAGGCCCCATTAATTTATTTTTTCTTTCTCTATGCATTTTTATTCCTTCTTTTGGGGTCCTATCAATTATATATATTCACTGAAAACATTTAGGACTCACATTATTTTTTATTTGGTAATTAAATATATATTCTAATTATCGATATCTAGTTCAAGCAGTATAATATTTCTATCTTCAAAAAAAAAAAGAGGAGTTTGAAATCAGGTGTGAGTAAAAAAAGAGTTTTGAGTGTGTTTCTTACTAATAATATATATTTATATATATATATTATTACTAGATCTGATTTGGTAATGAAAGAGGATGTATAAATTTATTATTATTTCAAAGCAATTAAAATGGAACTCATCTTCTTCACTTGTGAGAATCTAAGTATTGTACTATCCATTTATGGCCACTGATATACCAATTGGCGACCACAAATATAGAAAGTTAGGTCAACCTAAAATGCTGACCTCATTCTCTACTTTTACAATTGTACTATCCATTTATGGCCACTGATATACCAATTGGCGACCACAAATATAGAAAGTTAGGTCAACCTAAAATGCTGACCTCATTCTCTACTTTTACAAAAATGGAAGCCAACAGTATACTGATTGCTCTAAATAATGTAAAGTTGTTACGTTGGCACAAAAAATAATCCAAATCATCTAACATACTGGAAAGCCTATAATATACTCCTAGGCTATGTTGTCACGTCGTATTCCTCCCAATAAATGTTCTTTATTTATCTTAGAAACTTCCCACTATCTACTGTGAATAAAAGCCGAGTGTAGACTTTCTCCTATCAAGTGCATTTAGACCTATTTCGCATAAACAAATCTACCAACATAGTTATGTGGGGAAGAAAAAAAAGGCTAGTGATGTGGGGTATGAGGATCATCATGTATATATGGAAAAGGTAAGAGATGATTTCATGTAAATTATGATTTCTATAAATAACGTGAATTAATTCACATGGAGTAATCTCAACCCTTGCTGGTGCACAAGACCTCCAATGACACAGGAGGAGGGGATCCAAGTACAGTGATGTGGTAGTAACCAGGATTCCCTACCTATCATACCAGTGATTCACCGACAAAACCCAACACCGAACTTGTGCGGCGTGTGGTGCTTATGCATCAAAACTATACCGTTTTGAAGCAGAAGATAGAAGGAGATACACTGTCGGTGGGATACTGAGTAAAGCGACCTCCGTTTTTTTTACAAAGACTTGAGGAGGTCATGGATCATCTTCCTTTTAGTGCATTAGGAAACTGCGAGAATCTTAAATCCACAAAGTACAATGCATTGAAAGACAACAGTAAATGTGTGTTTGAATTGTGTGTATGATGAGAGTAGTATACAATGCCAAAATTAACCACTTACTATATTTTTCATAAATAGGGAATTACAATATTTTAATTTGTAAATTACTACCAGTAACAATCAATCACATGTACCCTAAAGTCTGAAGTTAAATCTCATAGGTAGCAAAAATCATTGTGTAGAATATGTAGATATAGATAATTCATTGGGTATTAATCAAAGATACAGACAAAATGAAAGAAAATAGTAAGATTAGTTCAAGAAAAACCATTGGATCTATTGACATTGCCTTAATCAAAAGCCTCCTCTATTGATATCAACAAGACACATATCTGATATATGACTCTCTCACAACACCTGTTAAAGTCAAAGCCACTCACGTGCACCCTCAACCCGAGTCAGGGACCACCACACTCATCGAAGTCGACGCCGCCCTGACAACACCACCACCCACACGCGCACACGCACAACAACCCCTCACCCGCCTCAGCTCCGCCGCCACCTCCTTCGCGTCCGGCCGGTCATCCTTATCCGCCGCCACACACCGGAACGCCAGCTCCGCCACAGCCCCAACACCGTCCACCGCCTCCCCATCCACCACCAAAACCGGGTCCACCACCTGGTTCAGAGCCCCCATCTGAATCTTGGCCACCACCAGATCCGCCAACGCCACCTCCCTCTTCTCTCTCCTCTGGTCCACCGCCCTCAATCCCGTGATCAGCTCCAACAACACCACCCCAAAACTGTATATGTCGCTCTTCTCCGTCAGCCGAAACGACTTGTAATAATCAGGATCTAAGTACCCAGGCGTGCCCTGTGGACCAGTCCACACACACCCACTCGAAGCCGACGACAATGTCGTCGTTTCAGGACACACCAATAGCCTCGACAATCCAAAGTCACCAACCTTGATTCTCATATCTTTCTCTACAAATATGTTTGAAGATGTTATGTCTCTGTGAACCACAGCTGGTACGACCGAGAAATGGAGGTATTCAATGGCTTTCGCTATTTGAAAAGCTATATCGACCCTCACTTGCCATGTCAACGACGACGACGACCCTTTTCGGCAGTGAAGATGGTCTGCCAGTGTGCCATTGGGGACGTAGTCGTAGACCAAGATTAGTCCTCTTGGGTCACTACAGTACCCATGAAGCTTCACCAGATTTGGGTGGTTGATTGAAGAGAGAATCAGAATTTCATTGCAGAATGACTTTGTGAAAAACGATTTGGTACCGGTGGTGGAGTGGTGGTGGAGGTGCTTCACGGCGACGATTCGGCCGTCGTAGAGCTGACCCAGATAGACTGAACCGAAACCGCCGTCGCCTATTTTACGTTTGGGGTCGAACCGGTTCGTGGAAGACTCGAGCTCTTCGTAGGTGAAGAGGGGAGGGAGGAGACTGGCGGAGCGGTGACGGTGGAGGAAGAGAATAGTTGGATCTTCTGCGGTGGACATTGAGTTTCTCCTTGATCGGAAAATGATTGTTGCAATACAAATGAATAAGAGAGACATGAACAGAAAGATTAGTGAGAGAGTCGAGACTCTGTTGAGGCTGTGCTGATGAATCCAAGGTGAGATTCGAGTTCGGGATTGAAAACAGAGAAATTGCTTGTTGGGATCTGAGGAATTGAACCCACAAACTCCATTTCTGGATTGGCATTGCTTGCAATTTGAGAAATAGGTGTCATCATCTTCATCCCATTCCACTTCAATCCCCCATTTCAAGAAATCATCAAGAAACCCGAAAATGTCGCTTTGACAGCCCTGATCTGAGATGGGTCGATGCTGATTAGATCCACACTCGAGTAAGAGCTGGATTGGGTGCTTCATGAGCTTGCATTCCCAAGGACAATGGCTGCAATTTGGGAGATTCGGAGGTGGGCATGGCTTAAGATTGAAGAGGCGGGAGCAGGAAGAGTCCGAGACTCGAAACGGAGAGCCGGAGAGAGTGATGGATCGATTGGGGATGGAGAGGAAGTGAGAAGAAGTGCAATTGTGAGCTGAAGTGGTGGTGGTGGTGGAGTGGCGAGGAGAGAGGATGAGAGAGGTGGAGTTGGGTTGGTAGTGGAGGAGAGAGAAAGAGAGGTTATTGATGGAGATGGTGGACTGTGGGGATGAGCATTGTAGTTGGAATGAGGGGTGGCCGCAACCGGGTGATGAAGAGAAAGGGAAGGGAGGTGTGGAAGTGAAGGGCGGGCAAGGAGATTGTGGTTTTGAGCATGTGACAGCAGCTGTATGGGTGGAGAAGAATCGAAGGAGTGTCAAGAAGAGGACGGCGGCGGTGGTGGTGGCCGAATGTGGCGGTGGAGGAGGAGGAGGCATTAGTGGGGACAAGAGGGTATTGCAGTCATCAATAATGAAGAAATAGAGATCTGAATCTTGCTCTAGCTCTAGCTCAAGGTTCACTGCTCACTGCCTAGGTTCTTGGGGAGAGCGAGAGAGAGAGAGAGAGAGAGAGGGAGTTTCGAGGAAGGGAAAGGGTGGTCACGTGAAAGTGATTGGGAGAAGACAACCCAATAAGGGTGGCCAAGGAGAGTTGGGAGACCAAGGTTGTGGAAATTCTACCACTTTTGCTATCTCTCTCTCATAATTTAAAAAATACAGTAATAGATTTGATTGATTGCTTACTTTTTACTGTATCATACTATTTCGGTAATTTTTTGCGTCTGCAAATGCTGTAGTGACTGCTCACTCCATTGGGACACGAAAGTCTTCTCGTTCTGGAGGGGTTTCTTTTGTACTATATTCCTTCGACGACCACTAATTGATTGAATGGTATACTGTTTCTTTCTCTTTTTCTTTTTCTTTTTTCCTTAAGTTACTATTTTTGTACTTGTTGGTTTGAAAACTTATTGCAGGATAAGTAAAATTGGCCACTCCATTTAGGAGAACACTGTTATCTCTTATGCAGGAATAGTGATATCAATTTAGCCCAACGGGGCATAAGTAAAGGACAATACTTGGATAATTTTATGGGAGGAAGAATTTTATCTTTTTTGTTAATATGATCTAATATAATTTAAAATAATATGATTTAATATAATTTAAAATAATAAAGGACAATACTTGGATAATTTTATGGGAGGATGAATTTTATCTCTTTTGTTAATATGATCTAATATAATTTAAAATAATATGATCTAATATAATTTTAAATTATTTTAAATTATATTAGATCATATTAACAAAAGAGATAAAATTCATCCTTCCATAAAATTATCCAAGTATGGTCCTTTATTATTTTAAATTATATTAAATTATATTATTTTAAATTATGTTTAAATTATATTAGTTTTAAATTATATTAGATCATATTAACAAAAGAGGTAAAACATGTTTAAATTATATTAGATCATATCAACCTAAGAGATAAAATTCACCCTCTCATAAAATTATCCAAGTCTTGTCCTTGTCTTATGTCCGGTGGGGGCTAAATTGATATCACTATTCCCGCGTAAGAGTTTAAATTTTGGTTTAATATAATTTAGACACATGTCTAAATTTTTAATAATAATTATTATCTAATTTTTTACTGATTAAACTCAAATCTAATTTTTTTTTGTTTTCCTATTTAAAAGTGTATATATATATATATATTTGTAAATTTGACGTGTCATAATAGATTTGGATTATTTATTTTTAACTTTCGTGATTGTTTTATATTTTTTGTGTAAAAATATATTTCCTAATAACAACTAATCAGTGTCATCGCTAGCAGAATCTCACATAATTTTTACAAACTTAATATAGAGTTGATTAATTAGTAGATAATGCTTAGATCCTGCCGTGGTCGTATCAAAATTTGACAATATGATATAATATTAAAAAAAGGAGCAATTTGGATCAACTTGGTTACCCAGATAGAATCCAATTAGAATTGAAACCCTTTTTTTTTTTCTCTCTCTATCTCTCTCTCTCCCCCTTCTTGGCATTCCATTTTTTTACAATTCAAACCAAAAACTGATATACAGATAGAGAAAGTGAACTCAAAGCATAAAAATGATTAGTTCGGCTTAGTCTCTACTTGATCTAGTGTTATCCAATGCTTCCCCTTCTCTCATAAGACTCAACTTTTCGCTCTCCTTCAAACCCAGACCACTCTTCTACACCTTTCCCATGACTTTCTCTCTCTACCCATTAGTGTTTAAGTGTTGGGTTGATATTTTTTCACCTAAGGCAATTCAAGTTGATGGCAACAACAAAGAACGGTAGTTTCAGATATTCGCGCGGGAGCGACACGCACCCACGCGCTCCTGTGAGTAGATCTCACTCACGCCCACGCGCTTCTTCTTCATCATCGTTTTTTCGGCGGTGGCTGTCCTTAGTGGACTCGTTCTTGCAATTTTTTGCTTTTAATTACAGTGGGCGCCCCATTAAATGAGCAAAAATGAAAGCTTTGAATGAGAAAATGAAGAAGAAAGTTGAAGGGAAGATCCAAAGAAGAATCCAAAAGACCATCCCACTTGCTTTGAATTTTCTCTCTCGCCAAACAAACAAATAAAATCCAACTTTTTTGTTGCAGCATAATACTCGACAAAATCCTCAATTTGCTGAAAAACCCATCATTTTTTTTGTCATGGATTGCAGAGTTTTTCTCCCACTCTCTCTGTTTCCTCTCCTTGTTTCCAAGTCTATGTCATTCTGCCACTGCAACGTATCTTTTTCTCTCTCTACTTTCTCTCATTATGAAATTTTTAATCATAGTTGGTTTTGTTATTTTTTTTTCTTAGACAAAGTTAGGTGTTTAGATTGACTACTGGTGCTTCATCTCTTCCATGTACTTTCTCTCTCTACGCTCTCAAATAAAATTGTGAAAGTCATGTGTTGGGGGTAGTAAAATTGGAGCTGAGATTCAAAGACAATGTGAACAAATACCAAACTCAAATAAAGACTATGGGTGCTTCTTCTCTTCCGCGTACTCTCTCTCTCTCTACACTCTCTCTCTTCCATGGAGCCTATGGGTGTTGACCAAGGGAAGAAAGGCCCGTTTGTAATGGGTTGATCCAAATTGATCATTTTTTTTATTATATTATATCAAATTATGACATGTATCAAATTTTGATAGGGTCACGTTAGACTGTAAAGATAAAACTTGTCCTCATAGGATAGGATTCAAGCATTATCTATAGTGTATAGAATGAAAAAGGAGTAAAAATCAAATATGTTGATGAGATCGGATAAATAACATGGCAATGTATCTTCCCAGATTGCTGGGATAAAAGTTTGCTTAATTTTGATAACAACTTAGAACAAAATATTCCAACGATAAAAGTATGTATTTGTCATTTAATTTTTGAATTAACTCATATAAATTATTAAATTACCTTTATAACTTTCTTTTAATTTACCGGAATGAAAAAAAAAAATAAAGTTAAGACAATCTCAACCACCTACCCACAATGTCAACGCCACCGCCGCTTCCTCTTACCACCACCAACTCTTCTTTCGTTTCTTCACTCTCTCTGTGATATATATACATACATATATATACACACATATTTTACACATAATATGTGAGTTTGGACTTAGATTTCGGGAAAGACGAAGTTGTACAACGTGGTAATGGAGGATTTGGGCGTGAGGTCTGAACGACGAGCAAGCAACGAGGAAAGGTGATGAAGGACGGCGATGGTATGAATCGGCGATGAGGCGGACTGAACGGTGGTGACAGAGATGTCTTCACCGAGGAAGGTGGTGTTTTGAACCGGCGGAGGCGGAGAACGATCTGAAAAGTAAGCTCGCCAAACACATCTCATCACCGGCCAGTTGTGTCGCCACCGTCCTCAAAGATGCACATCGTTGTATGCCAGCCTCGATAAGTTCAGATCGCGCGTGCATTACCGCTGCCGTTCTGAGCTTGCCCGACACATCTCATCGTCGTCCAGTCCTTGCACCGGCGGTGCTACTTTTTCCTCGCCGATAAGCACAGTCTGTCGCTGTTGGCAGTACAGACCCGATCGTCAACCACCTCTTCCCCACCGACCCTATTGAAGCCCAAAATCAGAATATCCTCCACCAAGGTCATTTTATTGGATCTTCCCTTCAAGCTCTCAATGAGATACGGATTAAAGTTTGCAAATTTATATCATATTTATATATACAAATTGTTTATATATATTGACATTTTTAATCCTGTTTTTTATTGGTTGGAATTCAATCGGATTATCTGGATGTGAATTGAATAAAATATTTAATAACCTGATAATTATATGAATCTAATAATTTATTAACTTAACAAATCGAACTTGTATTAGGTTGATTTGATTTATTAATAATTCGATACTAATATATATATATATAACAAAAGAATCACAATGCTTTGGGTAAAATATTAGGGTGTTCTCACCCATAGAGAATAATAAATCTTTAAGTATCTATCACTTATTCAATTGATACAAGACACGAGAAAGAAAATTCTAGAAGCCACTAAAGCTCTTCAACCCGTATTTACCTTGCAAACATGAGAAAAACAATAAGTGAAAGCAGAGTGATAAATTGATGGCAAGCAATAGCAAGAAGCCAAAAGGGAGAGCAGCTATCAATTGTCCAACCTTGCGGAGTAGTTTATTATATTTTTATTTTATTTTTTTATTTTATTTTTTCTATTGCAAATCCTAATTTTTCATCTTTCAAAACAATTCCCCCTACTCAGATTCAACAAGGAATCGTGAGGCCAAGAAGCTCAGAGCATGTATTATATTTAGTAATGTCTTAATTACTCATTTGCTAGTTCTTTGTTGGAGAACCGAATTATGTTCTCTATTTTTACCCTAATATTGGATCAAGTTGCTTGATCTCTCTTTGTGTAAATTGCAAAGGGGTTATAATTGATAATTGGATCGGACAACCCAATAGAGTGAATATCGAATATGGATTGACCGTGCAAGAATTTGTCAGATTATTAGATAGCTTAATATGCTTATCGGATTCGAATCAGATTGACTGTGATCTGGTCCGGATCTGATCCGTTGACAGGCCTAGAGCGGCAGTTGGTGGAGTGGGAGAGATAGGGTAATGGAGGAGATGAAAGGAACATTGATTGAAAGGTAGTTTTGTTATTTTGTCGAACTAATATTTTAGTCCAAAATATAATATTTTTATGAAAGGGCAACTTAGACATTTCATATTGCTTTAAAGGTGGTTTGGGGTGTGATTGTTCAATTTGGCAAACCTAAGGGGTGTCATTGTCTGAATAGTGCACATGTTGTAGATGATTGTCTTTAACTCAAACTTAAGGGGGGTGTGAGTGCAATTTACCCTTTATAAATTTTGGGTAAATTGCACCCACACCCCCTTGGATCTTTAACTCAAACTTGAGGGGGTCTGAGTGCAGTTTACCCTTTATAAATTCCCTTCATGGGGTGTGAGTGCAGTTTAACCTTTATAAATTCCCTTACCCCACCCCCCACCCCCTGGCCCGCGGGGGCGATTTGGGTTAAAGACACTAATCTACAAGTTGGGGAGAGTGTGATCCAATTGCCCACTCAAGTTTACAATTTTAGACAATAACACCCCATTTTATAAATAAGGAGCCAAACACTGCCTTAAGTGATACAAAATGTCTAATATGCCTTGCAATAAAAATATTATATTTTCATCCAAAAATATTAACCCACCTAAAATGACTAAACTACTCTCATTCAATATACATGTCTCTAAACCTTCTTCTATCTACCCACACGGACCTCCTCCGGTCTCACATCCTCACCTGCATCAATCACCACCAGCTCATTTAACAACAATTCCATCATGTCACCATTGCCTTTGACAACAATCGTGGACATGCCGAAGTGAATTTCGACGATGTGGGCCCTCACGTTGTCGTCGAAGGCTTCATCGATTTAGGCAATGAAATGTAAGCAATCGAATCACTCTTCGACGGTGTTGGAGAGAAATAGTGACGGTACTAAGCGGCGTGAGGTCTAAACAGTGAGCACATGGCGCCACCAGATTGGACAACCAATTTTGCGATGTTCC